AAACCCCAAAACCCCAAAACCCCAAAACCCCAAAACCCCAAAACCCCATAAGTTTAAAAGTTTGTAATATTCATGGCATTTTAGTAAATTAAAGGAAAATATTAGTTAATCAATCCATAATCAATATATATTCATATTGGAAGTTAGGTCTGAAAAAAGTTATCTCTCTACTTTCTTATTCATTGGTTATTCAGTCATTAGAATACGATCAAAATTTTGACGATAATCCTCATAATTCTTATGCTTACTATTGCCTGCAGTAGTTAGCACACTATTCTCTAATTCAACTTCATGGCATTCTAATATTGGCTGCTGAGACAAATCCAAGTTGTTTAGAGAGTTCATTACAATGCATTTAGAACTTTATTGCTGTCTATTAGAAAATTTAAGTCTTCTCACTAAGTTAGAGCTATTCATAGATATTGAATTAGAACTCTAGGATTCATTTTCCTTCTCAATATTGTTATTATAATAAAGATTTTCATAGTCATCATTCTAGCTGCTTGTCGTTATTTTTCTTATTGAAGTCACACTCTAGCTTACTTCACTATCTGTTTTTGTTATCTATCGTACTGAGCAGTCATCTTTATTTGAGCTTTTCAGAGTCATTTATTTCTTTAAAAGAACTCCATAAGAAGTTATATCCTTGTTAAGAGTATTTGATTTGCTGAATTTCGTCTTTGATTTTCTAATATTTTAGGACTAATTGGAGTTCTTAAAGCTTGTATCCCCTCCTTTTTAATATTTATCAAGTAGCTAAGATTAATTATATATCAGAGAACCAAGAGTTAATTTCCTTACACTTGTGCCGCTTGACTGTTAACTCATCGAATCAGAATCATCAATTTTTCTAATAGAGGTGTAACTTTGCATGCTGCTTTAATCATTAAAGCTAGAATCTTAATCATTATTATTTCTTATTATTATTGTACTTTATCCTGATTCAACATTGGTTCTTCCAAATGGATTGTGAGAGAGTTGCGGAGTTTAATCAACAACCCTTACAGAAGTAAAACTATCTTCTGAATTTTAAGAAAACTGTTCCTTATCTATTCTCTGCATATTTTAAGCAGTGTTGACTCTCATTACCTAAGTGCTCATTGATAAATTAGCCTTTGGTGTGCAAAATATAAAAGATTCTTGAGGATCCAGGACTTATAAGGACTACTATATTTGCTCCTCTTCTTCTATTTCTAGACCTTCTTCTTAATAATTCGATAAATCTAGAACCAAATCGGCTTATTCCTTATTTTAGACATCTTGATCAATTTCTATGCATTTGACTTCTTCTATTTCTTCATATTCATTTCTTTGCACTCTTTAAGTATAAAATGATTCATTAGGACTAATTGGTTTTGCTTGATAAAAGCTCTCCTCATCATCATCGTTCACATTTTCCTGCTGCTATCGTTAAATAGCATTTTAAATATCGATACTCTTCGTGCTATCATTGAAAATGAGAGTTTTATTGAAAATTTCAGACTTTTTCAAATTTAAAAGCATTTAGCCTATATCTTCGTATATTTCATTGTAATCTTCCTAGGTCTCTTTCTTGCTTGATTCCTCTTTAATTTCACTAAAGACGAATTTATTTCGGGGCTACACTGATTTCAAATTTGATGCAGAATTATGTTTAACAGTAATAGTATTGTCGAAATTATTTTCAATATTAGGAGAAGAAAACTATGAAAATTTCCCGCTGAGATTTAGCTTTATTTACAATCTATCCTAGAAAGCTCTTTCTAGATCATCCATCGTTTTACAAGAAATTTGATTGTCATTCGAAAATTTCAGAAATCTGTAGACTGCATTAATATCTGCACTCATTTCTAAAACATTCTCATCAATTAATGATAATTTCGTTTCTGACCTGTCTGTAAAATTATCATATACACTGGTATCGCTCGCATGAGATTGAATCTTTATCTTTCCAGTTTAAAGAAGTGTTTTAACTATTTGATAATTTATTGACCAATTATTACATACAGTGCTATCCAGTGGCATCTAAATTAATTTGTAATGTACGATCATCTCTGTCTTTACTTGTACAACAAGAATTGCACGTTCCCATAATTAAAAAGTTTGAAATAAATTTGAAATTAACTGTCCTCTTAAGCCAATATTTACATTGCGGGGTTTTGGGGTTTTGGGGTTTTGGGGC